TTCTCCCATATTCCCTTCATTTCCCTCCAAAGAACTCTTTTTTGGGAAGCGTTCGGATTTTATAGATTGTTCATTTGTTTCCAATTTATGGGCGAATTGGATGGTTCTGGCAGCTTCCCACTTTGATTTTTGAGGAATGCAGGGCATCTCCAAGATCCTTTGAATAATTTCTTAAAGAACGAGTTTGGTTTCGAGTTGCAAGTTTTGATGCGTTCTTGCTGCAATTTAAGATTGAGGGGAGATTCTGATATGATTACCAGGGAACACATATGAAACATGATGTTGAATTTATTTGCGTTCTAGGATTCTCAATGCATTAATCCTAAAAAACAAATTACTTTATTTCGTGTGATCCCCACCGTGACATTTTTACATTTTCTTACTGGCAAATCTTCTGGCATTCTATCTGACATATCTTCTGGTATTCTATCTGACATATCTTCTGGCATTCTATCTGGCAAATCTTCTGGCATTCTATCTGGTATATCTTCTGACATTCTATCTGACATATCTTCTGGCATTCTATCTGGCATATCTTCTGGCATATATTCTGACATGTCTTCTGGTATTCTATTTGGCATATCTTCTGGTATATCTTCTGGCATATCTTCTGGCATATCTTCTGGCATTCTATCTGGCATATCTTCTGGCATATCTTCTGGCATATTATCTGGCAAATCTTCTGGGATTGTATCTGGTATATGTTCCGGCATATCTTCTGGCATTCTATCTGGTATATCTTCTGGCATATTATCTGGTAAATCTTCTGGGATTCTATCTGGTATATCTTGTGTCATTTTATCTGACATTTTATCTGGCATACCTTCTGGCATTCTATCTGGCATATCTCATGACATTTTATCTGGTATATCTTCTAGCATTCTATCTGATATTCCATCTGGCATATCTTCTGGCATTCTATCTGGCATATCTCATGAGGTCCGGCAGGGAATACTTGGTGTGGATATTCGCGGTTGAGGTCCGGCAGGGAACACTGGGCGT